AGGAAATACTCTGTATGGATTGGAGGCTCCATCCTCGCTTCTCTGTCCACCTTCCAACAGATGTGGATCTCCAAGCAAGAATACGATGAATCTGGTCCCTCAATTGTCCACCGCAAATGCTTCTAATGAATTCAAATTAAAGTAAATTTATCAGTAGCGCGCTAACCAACCCATGTAGTTAGTGATCAGGGTATACCGTTTCTTTCGTAACTGAATAAACAAGAAACAAAAGTCCCGTTGTAGAATGACAAGGTGATCTAACAAATAAAATCGAGTGATACAAACTTGAAACAATTGTTTAGTTTTATTATTTAATTAATAGACCTTATTCGTGGTGTGACAATGTTTTCCCAATTCAACGAGACAAACCTCTAGGGAAATGAAGAGCTATTGTTTTATGCAACTCGTAGGGATATCATCGTTATTCCTTTCGTATCCTTTGGGATACTCATGAATTTTTCGAAGAGTAAAAACAAAAGAAAATGAATCCTCTGGAGGTTTGTCACGCTGAATTGGGAAAACATTGTCACACCACGAATGAGGTCTATTTCCCCGGGATATAGAAAATCCAAATCCTAACCCTATTAGCCTCGTTTTCATTCTGTACTTGACATTGACCAACTGGAATTCGATAAAACGATTATATCTATTAAAATATTTTAAAAACTTTAAGCTTAAAACGTTAGAACTTTTTTCTCTGCATTTCTTCATGACAAATGACTTATTTATAAAACAGCAGTAATATCAGAATTTTACTACACTTTATTAGGAATAACTTATAAAATCAAATATTTTTTTATTATCGAAATATTTTAAATCATATAAATTTTACTAATATAAGGAACAAGCTGTAGGGTTTTTAAAAACGATTGATGATCCTAATTACAAGAAAGGAAAAAAATTATGCGTCCCCGGGTGGGCTCGAACCACCAACCTTTCGGTTAACAGCCGAACGCGCTAACCGATTGCGCCACGGAGACAACTTGAAAAATAATAATCCTACTTTTTGTATATATTACAGCTACGTATTCAACATTTTCATTCATGTGTCAGCGGCTACACAACTCAAAATCTCCATTTTCTGCAGTTACACATAACAGTTAAACATGATTTTTAAAGTTCTTGTTTTCTTGGTTATTTTACCTGATCTTGAATAACCAAACAACATAATTTAGCGTTTAGGATAACGTTACAGTGGCATAAGATGTGAAGGAGGACTGGAAAATACTTCGTCTTATCATCTCAAGCTTGGGAAGATGATGAACGCTGGCCAAAAAGAAAAACTACGAAGGCATATATATATTTAATCTCTTTACATAACGTTATATTTAAGTTATAGTTTTAAAAAATTATTCAAAGCCTTTAAACCTTTCCAGTTATGTAAATTTTATATTTATTTTTTTGGCTGTAAATATGTAAAATCCCGAAAAGCTGAGAAGGCAGTAGTTCATTTTAGCCTTCTTTGTTTAATTTTGTAGATCTATAAATGTTAAACTTAAAGGTAGCAGAGTAATGCTAATTCTGATTGAAACTCTTTTAAATTCCTAAACTTAAAGAATGATACTCTATAAAACATTTTTGATATTACTTTTACGTTAGATACCTATAACTCCATTTGCATTGAACTTTCATGAGTCAGGGCTGGAACTTATCAACTTTTCTTGACTAGCGAACATTTGAATTTCTGCTGTAAAATTTGTAGTATCGTGGTGTACGGGAATGGTCAGGGGGATTCTATTCAAATCCCGATATGCAAACTAATTCGGATATTCTTCGTTTGCAATAGACGTCATAGCCGCCATGTTGGAAGAATTTGACAAAAGATTTTGAAATGAATTCTTTTGTTATGTCTTCCCACATGGCGGACATCCCTTTTGTTATTGTGCTCTTTTGGGATTGATTGCAAACCAAGAATTAGTTGTGTCCTACGATAGAATATATTATTCTATAATAATAAATATCTTTGTGCATACATAATAATGAAGCATCATTTTGAATATGRCAAAAATTGGAAAGCATACCAGCGAAATCACTTTGTAGTTGAGTGGTTAGGTTTAGGGTTAGGATTGGGATAGGTATCGTAATATCATTTGGTGCCAAGGGTGCCCAGTTTCAATCTTGCCTGCCATTGACTTTTTTTTTCTAAGTGAGGAAGTTCTACCTGTGTGTTTGGAAACCTATGACCCACTTTGTTAATTTATACACCATTGATACTACCAAAAAATTGGCCAGATCTAGAAAACATTTTCTTGCAAATGTCAAATTAATAGATTTTTTAAATTTCAACAGGGAAAGTCATTAGAAAAGCAATAGCACTTTCCTAGTTGCTCAGAAGCTTATTTGAGCACTGATTGATGTCATAGATAATCTTTAGTATCTGTTCCATGAACTGACCAGGAGCTAGTATAACTATCGCTAGAATATGGGTCATGCTATTAAAACATTACAAGTTACCCCAGTAATGAGATTATGGGAAGCACAGGTGGTATAGAGGTGAAAATCCTCACCTCTGGCCAGGTTCGGTGTTGTATGTGCATAGAGTTGTTTGTTGATTCTCTCCTGTGCTTCGAGGGTTTTTCTCCTGGTTCTCCAGTTTTCTTCCCTCCACAAAAATCAACTCTAAAATTCCAATTCAATTATGGAATGAGGGCCACAGGTTTGTTAGCCACTGGCCATTAAGTGCTACTCTCATAAAAAAGAAGAACAGTTTTTCATGTGTTCTAATAATCAGAGAGACTATGGAGAGGTAGGTGGCTGAAGGAAGCTATAACTACCTTCGCACCCTACCACGCACATAAAACACAGTCTTTTTTGCTAATATAAACTAGATGCTAGATTTTTCAAGCCTTGATCACCTCTCTTAGTCTTATGCACACTAATCTGCTACACTTTTTAGAGTGCTCCAAGGTCCTTCTTGTATAAATACACTTAGAATTTAGTAAGGCATTAGAAGAGCTAATTGTCAAAGAACACAATCTATGTGCTTTGGCAAGGGTTTGCTTGAAGTCTCAACCCTTATGCTTTTTGAAGGGCACTCCAGCTTAATACCGATGCAATCAATCTATCAATCAATCTATCAATTTTAATTATTAGTACTGTTTACAATTGTAATTTAAAAATATAAGAATAAACAGATTTAAGGGTACAAGCTGTCTATAATAACTGTAGTAGCTAACCAAGATAGACAGCTGCTATTTGCATTAACAATAGTATAAATTGGGTCTTATTAGGATCATAATAAATAGAATAAATAATGATAACTAAATAAAACTTACATACAATTACAAACTGACAAGAAAAGACAAAATTTAAGCATATCAAATAACATAAGAAGAAAAATAAAACAAAAATAAATTTAATATATGATTTAATATGATTTAAGCAAATAAGAGGGGAAAAAATCAGGTATATGAGCTAAGCAAAACACCACTCAGCTTCTCACGAAAGATGCTTTAGTCTTAAGCTTTTTTTTTTTTTGCAATGCCAGGAATTTCATGGAAAGCACCTTTACACCCCCACCCCACCCTCATTATGTGTCAATCAATTGAGGCTGCCATGCCACCTCCTATTTTTCATTTGTATGTTATGTCATCAAGGCCATGTTGCCATTTAACAAAAGATTTCTCGTTAACCACAGCAAGCTGGCTGCCATGCTTTTGTCTTTTGTGATTTGATAGAAGATTTTTACAGGTTTATGGATGCTTTTCTCTATGGGGTATATGTTTTGTCTTAAAGCATATTAGCACCAGCTTCAATATTTATCAAATGTGGTTGAAACAATTAGTAGGTGAGGAGAGGGGTCATGCACTTCTTTCAGGGGGATGGGATAGGATTTTTAAACCTATTGTAGTTGTGAAGTGTGGATTGTTTTAGATTGCGTTTTTTTTATACTTGCCTTTGTTACTTTAATTATTCATTAACGTTTCCTAAACTCAAGTGAACTTTTATTGGTTAGCCCAACTAAACACAATACAAATTTTCTTGACCATTTAACTTACAAGGAAAAGTACCTCATCCATTAAAGAATAATAATGTGAATTACTATTTTAACTTGTTACGAAGTATTTACCATTTTCCAAGAAAAAGCGTTGAAGCTAACTGCCTTGTAAATTGATTTGTGCGTTTTTTTTGGGAAAAATTATTAAGTGACACGATATATAGTCCGTGATTTTTTTTTTGTGACGCGAGTTTCTTTGTCAATTCTGATAGAAAAAAAATTAAAGTGGGAAATATCGTATATGTGCGGATAAAATTACGGAAAGCGCCTTGATTTTGGAACAGGCTTGACATTTGAGGAATATCTAAAGAAAAAAACTGCTAATTTTTTAATTTGTTATTAAGATCTAGATGAAATAATGCGGAAAAAAGAAGAGTGTGTTTATCTGCGAATTCCAAGCTAATTTGATCAACTCTTCCACCATTGATTCAAATGCTGCCTTAAAAAACACGATGAGGGGTCGGGTACCTGTTTATAATTAATCAAATAAAAACTTTTTTCAGTAAAAGTTAAGTACATTGTTCTGCACATTAGACTACRTAAAATCAATTTTAGCGTTAAAAAGTACTTGGAATTTTTATACAAAAATAATATTTTTGAACGAAAAAAGGATTTAAGCTTTTAAATTGACCATGCAAATATTCTACATTCTTAGAAGTTGAACCAGTTGTTTATTCTTTGATGTTTTTATTTTAAACTTCTTTACGGGTTTTAAAACGTGAATATAAAAACTAAAATTGTTTTAAATAAGAATTTAGTTCAGCGGAACATTCGACCTCTGTTGAAGGTCGCAACTAAACCTTTACAAAATAATGTAAACCACGTTGAACTTCACAGTGATTCAACGTATAAAAGGTAAGTATTAGAAACTCCATACTATTGTTTTATAAGATTGGGATACTTCAAAATTTAAAAAAGAATTCTTTTGAGAGAAATATTAGTCGTGTTATGTAAACGGCAAAAGCTGTAGTTTCTTCTCCATAATAACTAATATTTGAAACAAATTTTCTTCGAGAAGTTCCTTGATTTTGTTTTAACTTTCTTTAAAATTTAAAGGCAAGTCCATTGAGTGGCTCGGAATGTCTTTTCTTCGAAAAAAAGGAGGTTAACGATTTTTCTTTGTCTTACTCTTTTCACCCATTGATTGCCGTTTGACCTTTCAATTATTAATAACCATACCCTTGAACCTCCAATTCACATCGGAAACTAGTGGCTTTTTCCAAGATTATCGACATTCAATACCTACAGTTTCTCATCATGGAAATATTAATTATTTTGGTCTGCTTTTCTTTTTATTTGAAAAAAATCGTTCTTCGCTGGAAAAACTTCTTATGATCGATTGCACATTTGTTTTTTGTTTGGATAACGTTTTTCTGGCTTCGAACCCTATCGAATCTAGAGTCTTCCTCTACAAACTATCCCAGAACTGTGTCGGTCATGCATTGCTGTTTTTGAAATAAAGTCGTTTAATGATGCTAAATCACAAAGCAGGGCAATCCGGCACATCTCAAAAGGTCCGGAGTTTTTATCCTTTAATTTATCTGGTTGTCTGAGCGAAGCAGTCACAGTTTCACCTGTACAAATAATGGTAACTGACTGAGATTTTCAGTTTCTTCGGCGGTTTTGTTGGCGCTAAGTATTTTTTGATTCGCCTAGCAACTCTCAGTTAGGGATGTTGTACTTATATATTAGCACTAAAATTGAATGAGTGAGATCAGTATATACTATTTGATTTCATGCATTCTGCGCAGTTAGAGGGTAATTAGAAGGTTAATCTATTTTATCTTGAAGATATTCGAAGTAAAACCAAAAACTTAATACAAGGATTAGTTTGAAGGGAAAAAATGCAACGCGTTATGAAAACAAAATTGTTACCCAATTAGCTCTCCTATAGCCACCTAAACAAAACACAATTTTGAAACAGCGATTTTTTTCATTGCTTACCAATCAATCGTAAAAGTGATTGTCTGGGCCGGGGTGATGAAGGTGAAATACCAAGCCAGAAATATATGCATGTTAAATTATCTACTTTTAGTTTTTTTCTAACTGCTGTATGTTGTTATGTAACATATAGATATCTTTTTACAAAATAAAATATCAAAAAAGTAGGATTTAAAACGCTTTTGAGTGCGGTTTGGCCAATGTAAAAGGGTTTGTTATCCTAGTGTTGTTTTCGGGCCAATTCAAGCTTATTGATCGATTGGCTCGAGTATTTATATTTCAAATTTCCATTGTATGGCCGCAATTTATGATGGGTCAAAGACAATCACAGCCAGGGCCCAGTGGTACGAAGGGTCATAGCGCTATTCGATGGATAAATCCTTATCCAATGAATAAGTAAATACTGTTATCCAATAAATTTATCCAGTGGATAAGATTTATCCATCGGATAGATAGAGCGCTATCCACCCTCGTACAACCGGGCCCAGGTCAACAACTACAACAACAACAAAAAAGATGCTGAAAATAAAGGGGTAAAATAAAATGAGGAACCAATAAAGGAAGAAAGTAATTTTGACTGACAGAAGAAAAAGGAATGACATTTTTGACGGATCAACATATCAGCCCCAGGACGGCAGAACACTACCTTCCATGCAGTAAATGACCAAAATACTCACTAATTCATCTCAAGATTGCACAGGTTGACGCTGAATTGATATCGGTGTCTGATTCTGTTTTTTTTTTTTTTTTTTTTTTTTACAGCTTTTATTTTTTAGCGACCAGACATGGTTACCTACTACCTACTAGTAGGATATCTATTCGTATTAGCAATATTCGTGCAAGGAGAAAAGACTTCTTCTCAAAAACAAAATAAAACTGACAAAAGGCAGTTCATAGGTGAGTGGAATGTTTGTTCATAGTCATTATGTGTACCCCACCCTCCCCTCCCCTCCAGTCCCCTCTAGTCCCGTCCAATGCGTCTCCTCCTCATCTCAACCTACCCAAACATTTGACATACACAGACTTGTATTGGGTATATATGATAGGTCGCTGTGATAAAAGATAGGAGTATTGTACTTGTTTTTATATCTTTTTAATAATCTCTAGAAAGTTTTCACGTGACGTCACAGCGGCCATGTTGGTGTACCAAAACAATACATTTTCTAACCTCCGGGAATTAAACTCTATTTTTATGAAAAAAACTGTGTATAAAGCTGCTTTTGTTTGGTGCACCAATATGGCTGTCTTATCTAGTGAATGAAAATTCTTTTTTATGTACCGTTAATATTAATTATCAATACTTATATATAATAATGACTATTGTTATACTATAGCTTATCCGGCTGGAACATATGAAGCCAATCAGTTGAATGACGGACAAGCAACTCCTTGCTGTCCGCAAGGGATGTACTGTCCAGGTATGTCTTTAGAAAATGCTTACAGTAGATAGCCGTATACTATTCCGTGTTCGTTATTTACAAGAAATCCTACTAAGTTAAAGACAGCAGTATACTTATTAAAGAGAACTGTCTATATGTTACGATTTGGTACAAAAGTATAATAATTAATCTTATGGCGTTTTCTACTACATATTAACAAATATAAAAATAGTCATCAGTCTTTTATGATCGAATCTTATCCTTGTATTTGTGTTTAATTCCAGATCGGCCACCATGTTCTCCAATGGTCACAAAAGCGCCTGCTCCTTACGTAGGGGTGGATCAGGGCGTGGCTGGCTATCAAGGAACAGCGGGTGCCTTTCCACCGCCTCCGACAATGTTGCCTCAAGGGCAGGAGCAATCTGATGATTTGCCACCCAACCGCAACGAGGTCTATGATGTTGAGGGGCAAAGTATGTACGATTTTGTTAATGTGTTTATATTGTTATATCCACTATTATTACCTCTGTAGTGACCGCCCTTTTCCTCTTACGCATGATTCAGTGGTCTGTGTATTTAGGAAATTATGGCAAAGCATAATCAAGTATAGAAGAAAAATAAAAAAATTTCATAAATTATAATTAGAAATTCTAAGTAAAAAAAGGAAGGAAAAATCGTGATAGGAATTCTCTGATATCACTGCTTTTATTTGTTTTTCTAGAGCTTTTCTTTTAAAAAAAAAAACAACAATCCTGTTTTGAAGGACAGTTTCTCAGTATATCTGTGTAGAAGGAATAATTTTCCTCGCATCTTGGCCAGGTCGATTCAACGTACTGACCGGTATATCAGAGCCATGGGTTAACAAACCAATCCATTTTTTGCAGGTTTCAAAAGCGTTGGCTGTTGGCGGGACACATGGGAACGCGCCATACCATCGCTGGAAGGAAAGCATCCACTCCTACAAGAGCCAGACTACAAGGCAAGAACAAACGCTCTGGTAAAGTGCGCTAAGGCAGCCAAAGACTTTCAACTGAAGATGTTTGCCATCCAAAATGGCGGTCAATGCTTCGGTGGAAAGGATGCTGATAGAACTTTCATGAAATATGGAGTCAGCAAAGCCTGTCGTGGTAAGGATGTATAAATTCTAAATTCCATGCACCACAAATATATATTATAGCAAAGAAATCTGGGGCTTGTATTTTAATTCGCTGCTTATACTTCCAAGAGCAGGGGGAAATTACCTCTGTCCGAGAGTATATATTTGAAGCCGAGTGTGAACTTGATCAGTGCGGCAATAGTCAATTTTTTGTTTAAAATACTATCATTATTATCTTTACCAATGCTTAGGTGATGGTGAAGGTGGCCCTTGGGGAAATGAAGTATATAGGTAAGTATCAAATAGTTTTAAACTGAAGTAGATTTCGAAGGTACACTGTATGATTGTGAAATGGCACGGCACCTTCATGGAATGGTTCCAATCGACGTGTTATAATTATCCATCCAACTAATGACAGCGCGCGAGATCACTGCTTATGCAATACTATGCTTGGATATACGACACCGGCACGGCACGTCTGTAAAGTGCATAAGTTGTCTTTATTCCAAAAGAAAATTTGAAGGAAATGCAGTAGTAACTAGAAAGTACATATATTTATTATTTTTGACAGCTTCCTCTCTAGTGGATCAGAGAATGACGCAGCTAAGTCAAAGGCGATGCCAAATGCGACAGAGCAAAAAGAAGTCGTGAAGCCAACCGCCAGCCCTTTGGAAGACCTTCCACATCCTACTAATCCTTCTTTGGCAGTTCCTATAGATTTGGCTATGAGTTCTAAGGCATCTGGTAAACCTCCTGTGGTACTTAGAGATCCAGGCTCTGAGATGTCCGAATCAGCTCATGTTAATAGTGACCCCATAAGTATAGACGAAAAAAAGTCTAACAACAAGGTGCCACTAAGTGATGATGAGGAAGACCCCCTTAAGCCAACTCAACTGCCAACTAAAGCTACTGAAGAAGATGTTGTGATAGTTAATGAGGATAAAGAAGCTGAAAGCCATGAACATGAAGCAGGCAGTACCCGTGCCACGCCTACTGTAGCCATGTCAACTGCAGCCATACCCACGAAAGCTGTGAATCCAACACAAGCTTCTGATGAAAATGTTAACATGGTTGAGGCTCTCAAGAAGGAGGCTGGAAACAAGGAATATGAGGATAATCACGTGACAGCTAAACCCACGGTAGCAAGGCCAACCGCAGCTGTGACTCCAACACACCCTACTGAGTCACACGACGTTGAAGTCACACCTACCGAAAGTGCTTCCCCATCACTTTCCGATAGCGTCCAGCTAGACAAGACTGTGGAAGAAAGTACTAGTGGCAAAAAGGAGACTGGAAACAAGGAATATGAGGAATATAATCACGTGGTAGCTAAACCCACTGTAGCTAGATCAACCGCAGCTGTGGCTCCAACACACCCTACTGAGTCACACGACGTTAAAGTCACACCTACTGAAAGTGCTTTCCCATCACTTCCCGACAGCGTCCAGCTAGACAAGACTGCGGAAGAAAGTACTAGTGGCACTACGGATTCTTCAAACAAAGTTCCCAACATGGATCAAGCTGATGATCTTCAAGATAATTTCCTTGACGTAAACAAAGCTAAAGATCATCTTGAAGAGCCTGCAAAATCCGACGTGAAGGATGAACAATCTGCCCTGGACAAAAAAGTTCATGATTACCCTGGCTTAGAGATGCTACCGATTCCACACGAGAATGCAGGAGGCAGAAACGATGTTCCGAGGGCAAAGCCCAACAAGAAAGGTGTAACTGCAAGCCCTAAAACAATCAAGCGTAAAGTTGTTACTGCTTCAAGTAGCAAGCGAGAAGATATGGGTTTAGAGGAGACCAAGGATGAGTCGTTTCCTCTGCCGGTCAATTCTACAGTAAACAAGAACATGACGTTGGATCTTGAAGCTTTGAATGAAAAGCCTGCCCAAGAAGAAACTTCGAATGCAGCGCCTGTTTTGGAAACGGTCCTTGAAAAAAACAGTGATCATCATGATTCCTTGAGTTCAGCTATTGCACAAGCGGAAAAAGAAGCAGATTCAAAAGTAGGACATCACATCCAACTACCCGGCTCAGAAACGGAAAGTCATGAAGCCTTTGATAGCGTAAGCCCATCTGATTCCTTGGAAGAAAACACCAGCCCACAAGATTCATTATTGTCAAGCGAAGAGGCCGAGCCTAGCGAACAAGATCATGACGCTCCAAGCTCTTTTAACGAAAAGTTCGACACGAGTCCAATAAAATTCAGAAGACCAATAAAACTAATCCAAAGTATCTGCCCACCTTGTCGTAAGTATTATAGTTGATTGACGCACATTTTGTTTCAGCTTTAAAAAATCAAAGCTAACGGTACCGTGCTTTAACGCCACTCATTGGTCTTATTTCTTTTGTTTCATTCGAGTCGAGTAAGAAATCTTCTGCTAAATTCCCAAAATGTTAACTGATAATATCACCCGGGGAAAAAAGTCGTCCCCGGGTGGGCTTGAACCACCAACCTTTCGGTTAACAGCCGAACGCGCTAACCGATTGCGCCACGGAGACTTGATGAAGTTGGGAAGTAATGAATAAAAGCTGAATGCTACGAAAAGACTTTAGGCAAAAACTGCAATAATCATCCGCAAATATCAATTCATTTTTGCTATACTAGTTTTTCGATCACGTTTTAAATAAATAACTCGTGAAAGCACAATTATATGATTGAAAAATTTGGTCAACCAAAAAGAATGAACAAAGGAGAAAGGGGGAAAAAACAACTGAAAAAGTAATACGAGGAAGCGAAAAGAAAAGTAAAAAGAAAAAGAAAGGAAATAGCAAAATAAGAATAAAAAGTAAACTACAAGAAAAAAATTCCCACGCATGCGTAGATAAGACTATTTGACGCGTCTGCCAGCCTCGTTTCTATTCTCGTGTTTTGGCGCTAAAATAAGAAACCCTTTCAGATGTCAGACATTTTGTTTATTTTCCCTTTAAAACCTCAACAAAAATACACCGGGAAAAATGCTTTCTTTAACACATAGGTAAGAATTAACACTATAGAATATTAAGATTTTTGTTGTCTTTGCTTTGTGGATCTAATTTTWAAAAAAATGTTTTGAAATTTGGAAGAAATTTAAGGTACTGCAGCGTATAAAGTCCAAGGAAACGCGGAATATGTTTTTCGATTAATTTGATAGATTTTCACGAATAATATCTGCAAAAATCTGTTTCTGGACAGCAATTACTTTTCGTTATAGTGAAATTTTAAAAACTCGCTATCGGTTTTACCTAAAATGTTATTTTTTCGTTTTTATTTTTAGCCACAAGAAAGCCAACCGCGCCATCAAGTAAGTACATTTATTTGAATTTGCATTCTGATATATCGCTTTATATAGACCCCTTACATGTAACGTCAAATGAGCTCAATTTGAAGGACAAAACAAAAGAATTTCAATCTCCTGAGAATTGGGAACCTACTGTTTCGTTCTCGAAATTGAGCTGCAATCCGACGTGCTGCGCTATACTATTACATCAAATGCATTAGTTAGGCTATAGAACGTTTTAGTATGTGTAAGTAATATGAACTAATCAGTTGTTATTCTTACCTTGTCAGCCTGCAGAGCACCATTAGATATTGTATTTCTTGTGGATGGTTCCAAGAGTGTGGAACGCCATGGAATTGGGAATTTCCGGAGGGAGATCACCATGATCCAGCACTTGACTGCAGGATTTTTGGTATCTCGTACCTACGCACGTATAGGTTTGGTGGTTTTTGGCACTCATTCAAAGGTTGTATTTGGCTTAAATGGCTACAGAAATAATGGAGCAGTTTTTAATGCATTGCGCAGATCTATTAGAAACCCACAGTCTGGATCAAGAATTGGAAGAGCTCTTTGGACGGCACGAAAGATTTTTACTAGGTATGTAATAATACTAATACTAATATTTAGTATTTATAAAGAGCGACTTTAACATGTGAATATGATCAAATGCGCAATACTGTACTGACAATAGTGTTTAAGTGTATTAATCTTATTATTATAAATAGGGTTGATAATGCAAAACAAAAATCTACAGTATTATATCCTTTTGTATTCTTGCTTGATAAGGCAGGGCTTGAAAGAGCAGGCTTGATAATAACGAAAAGTGGAAAAAAAAAATTAAATATATTAAATAAAAGCAACATTTTACTGAGTTGTTGCTTATAGACTCCCTTATAATCCATTCTCCATCTATCTATTATTTTCTTTTTTGAGCCATTTTAGGCTTCTTTCTTCACAGGGTACTATTTAACTTTATATATTTTAACTACATTTTTTATCTCTCATACCAAGAAATCCACGTCGAAGTAGTAGTACCAGAATAGTTGTACTATTGACTGATGGCCGATCTACAGATGATGTTTCTCGACCAGCTAGGAAATTAAAAGCTAGTGGTGTAAAGATTTTCTGCATCGGTATTGGCCGATATATTAATGGAAGACAACTGGATACTATTGCTTCTATGCCGCGCAGAACTCACATTTTCACTGGTGATTGGGCTCACTTACAATTTATTGTAAACCCAGTCAGAGATGCTATCTGTCTTGGTAAGTCACAAATAATGCTGTAACCCACTCAGATGAACCCTATCATTCGACCCATCCAATCCAACTTGCAATTATTTAAGTAGCTACAAATTTTTGAATTACTGTATTGAAATTATAAGATACCAAATTAAGTCGAGAAGCAACTTGCTTTTAAAATTCAACTATCTCCAATGATCTAGGGAAAATGGACATGACTGAATCCAAGGGGTGGAAGTCAGACATAAAATAATTAGTTTTTAGGGGCCGGGAGTTTTACTATGGACTGATCTGCACATCAAAAGTTGAAAATATTTTAATTATCTGAGGATCAAAAGCTTTTTCTTATGTTAATATTTTTCTTTCTTTTTTTTAATTTTTTTGGCTCCTTGGTTGGGATTCTTAGCCATGGGTTGATATATATAGCACTGTATCAAGTAGTATTATATATCTTAAAAATGACCCACAATTTCAACTTTTTAAACATTTTAATATAATAGTTTTAGAAATCAGCAAATATTAATATTCCTTTAACAGGAAGTGGTGGAGCTCTGATCCATGCTACGCGTAAGATATGTTTGTGTCCACTCACAGGTAAAAAAATATTTCTTAATTAATAATATGTTATGGGATATATATCATTAATACTCTATACGATCTCTACTACATACTATATACAGAAAGGCTTGGTTGTATATCACAGTATCAAAGTTTTGACCATTGTCGGTTTTTAGTTTTTAGTCCTCCCACTGCACCTTTGCACTAGCTTGACGTTATGTGATATCGTATATCATCAACACTCTTGAACAAATATATTTATATTAATTTTGAAAACATACTACCTATACAGATAGGTTTGTTTTAATATCATAGTATCAAAGTTTTGACCTTGTTAGTCTTTTAGTTTTTAGGTTATCCCACTATTTTACACTAAGCTTGATGTTTATTTACAATAAATATTGAATAATATGTTGTGTTTAGGGCCAACAGCCAGGCCTCCAGTCACAACGCCGACCAAAAGAAAAGGTATTTACATTCTAATGCTAATATAGAAATAAATGGTATTTTTGGATCTTGTATAAAGCTTCCTTCCAGTAAATAGAGGCTTTGCACCACCATGTAGCAGCAGCCATGTTAGATTGCAGGAACAATACAATCATTGTATCTAAGAAAGAATTCAATTTGCTAGAGCAAAGGGATTTTATTGTTCTACCATCTAACCACAGGCAGCCCAAGCAGTATTATTGGATGCCCACACATGATGGGCCAAAATCTCTATAATTTCCCAATACAATTTGAAGGACAAAACAAAAACTTAAGCTATGCAAAAATGATGTTTCAAATTTATCTTTTATTATTGTGATAATAATTATAATTATATAGACCCTTTTAGCTTGGGTGCAATGTTTTCCAATTTCAGACCACATGCCATTCCCTAGTGTATCATTTCATTGTTTAAAGGGTGGGCTTAAAAAGACACATAGATATGGATACGACTCAAAAAAAAAACATACTCTAGACCATGTCTCATGGTCTGAAGTGGAAAACATTATACCAATTATAAGTTATCAGGCTTGATTAATTGTTTTGTCCTTCAAATATTAAAAAAGTCTGTCTATAATCTTAAGAGTAGCTTTTCAGCTATCTAAACACGAAATTATAAATACAAGTAATGGAATTTTGAGGCTTACTGTATATATACAGTACAAATAGTCCAAACCAAATACTATAAACATGTACACTAACTGATAAACTGTACGTAATGAAAGGACTGTACATCATAATGTTCGCTTTATATTACTGAGATGGTATGCTACCCAAACACTTGAATATGTGTAGATGCACTCTTTTGCCTCTTTGAATCAGGCTTGTCGATTGTACCTGGCATAGGAGTTTGGATTTGATCACGTGATCGTTTTCGTATCTCCCGTCCATCATCGTTGCTTTCACCTGCTATTTTCTTCTTTATCTCAAGGGCGCGGTTACTAGCATTCAAAGCTTCTGTAGTGTTTCCAAGTTTCCTGTGAACAGAGGCTATTCTGTCCAAAGTTTCAGCCACTTTTGGGTGGAATTCACCACAACTTTCCATTATTTGCAATGAAGTCTCGTAGTGCTGCATGGCGGACGTCAGGTCACCAGTTGCCTCAAAGACAAGTCCTAGATTTTGCTCAAACCGACCTAATTTTGGATGAATTATTTGCCCATAGGTTTTTTTCCAAGTACCAATTGCTTGTTCGTGGCATTTCTTAGCTTCTTCATATTCCTGACGTTCATAACAAACCATCCCTAAATAGTCAGTTGCCTCAGCAATATCGATCGGATCATCTCCAGAACGTCTGAAATTTTCGTAAGCTTCAAGACTGTACTGCTTTGCTTCGTCAAGCTTGCCCTTCCTCCGAGAGACTATTCCTTTATTACAAAATATGTAGCCAAACAAATCGTTATCATTGTCATACTTGGACGCGGTGATAGTAAATGCCTCCTCCAGGTATTTTTCGGCTATTTCTAGCTTATTTATCTCAGAGGCAACAAAACCCAAGTTGCAGAGTGACTGGGATATCTTTGGGTTGTTTTCCTTCCTGCGTAAGTACAACGCCTTTTCGATGTTGTTGTACGAGCCATGGTAATCCCCGAGTCTGTAGCATATAGTTCCTAACGCATTAAAAGTTAAAGCTTTAACCTCGAGATCAGATGGCGGATGATCATCTAATATATCAAGAGCTTCAATTAAGAAATCTTTGGACTTAGTTAGGTTTCCTTTCTTTTCGTGAACGAGGCCAATAGTAGTGAGAGTCTCGGCAATACTGACCTCGACGTTATCTTCACTTTTTCCACGTCTTAAAACTTCAAGTGCTTGTGAACAGCACTTCTCAGCCTCATCTAAATTGCCAAGGTGCAAGTGACTGTATCCCAACTTACTTTGAACAAATGCAACTTTGAAATGATCGTGTCCATACATCTTTTCCCTCAGCTGTAATTCTAACTGGTAGAAAGTTTGCGCAGTTTTGTATTTGCTGTAGGTTCCACAAAAGTTCCCGAGTCTTTCCAAGCAGTCCTCGAGAATGATGCATTTTTCAAGCTCTAGGAAATCAGACTTTCTGGCAAAAAATTCAGCAATCTTTGTCAGATGTTGAAAGCACAACCTCTTCTTTAAGACAGTAGATGCATCCCATGAATTGTGGAATGATTCGTAGTAAACTTTGAACGTTACCAAAATGTCTGATAGTATTTCATACACTGCTGAGTTATCCGCGCTTGGCTTTGATGTTTCTTCGACCAACCTTTCAAAACTGCGCTGGACAACCTGGTGTCTTGTCACGATTTTATCAATGGATTCCTCTCTTATGTTATCGAGAAGTAAATGAGTACAGGCTTTCAACTTCCCTCTTACAACCCCTTCGTCTAGTTTAGCGTCGTTTCTTGTAACGTACTGGACAATTAGTTCCAGCGGGACCGGCTGTTCCGGTGCACAGAATGCCAAGAAAGTAAACGCTTTCTTCAAAACCGGATCGTCATCCCACATATATCGTGAAAACATCATAACGGCACTTGTCATGGTTTTACCGTAGCTACCAGAATTTGTATTCAGAAATAGTTCTTCTGTTCTCTCTTGCTTCCCGTCTTTCAGTTTACTGATATACTCTTCCCAGCTAACAGATGCCATCTTGACATACGTCGCAGCACTTGCAAGGGCCAGTGGTTGATAATTTAAATCCTTGGCAACTTTTGAGAAATTTTCTGTATCAACTTTAGACACAGAAAAGAGAAGGTTCTTGGCGTCYTCCGCTGTCATTCCGTTACTCAAACAGATACTGTCAGTAAACTTGCTTTTACAAGGGACAGTTCTGGCATCTTGAGTTGTGACAACTACCTGGCCACGCCCCCATGTCCGATCACCTGGCTGGGGCCAATAGTCCTTGAAACTTGAACTCTTGGTAATATTTTCAACAATAAGAAGCCACGAAAAATGCTTAAGTCTTGAGCGAACAGAATTCGACAAAATCCTTAGACTTTTTTTCTCATCAGAAAGCTGCATGGCACTGTTTACCTTTTCTTCTTCACAGCCAAGGTCAGTAGCTAGTTTTCCGAGCGAGTCAACCATCGTCGTACTGTTCTCAGCATTTAGAGTCGTGACAACTTTAACCGCATTGGTTTTGTAATGCTTTTCTCCAAACTGTCGCACAACTTGACTTTTCCCACAGCCCGCATTCCCAAAGATGTAGAAAACACAGACAGTGTCATCGTCGCTTGAAGCTCGAATTTTATCCAAACGACTTGAAATATCTTCCACTTCTTGTTTTCTGTACGTGTATTCATGGGAAGGGGGAAGTGGAAGCGTGCAGATTTTGACGTCTGCTTTAAACGCCGCTTCCAAATTATTTGGCCCTCTACCAAATCTTTTTTCTCTTTCGATAAACCGTACCTCTCGCGCAATGTCAGGCAGGCCAATGCCTTTAAAGATACCAGCAATGGTTTTAGCTTTGGACTTCAGCTGACTGGCAGACAGTTTTAATTTTGAGTAGTGTGAACCTTCATTTCGAATTTTTTTAAGTTTCCATATTGCCCCTGACAATTTGTATCTTGGTTTAAGGAACAATATAACATTACATAGCTTCGTACAGTCCCATTCTTCGATGTTCATGTATCGGAATCTTTCCAATTCTTTTTGGTTATAGGTATTTGGTTCTATCTTCATTCGTCTATATAATTCATCGCGATCGACTTGTTTGTCTCTCCAGTCACATTTCGTACACCTATACCACTCTTTCTTAAATACGATTCTCAAGCCTTTAGAAACAGTTTGAAGGATATCCGTTAACTTGAAACAGTTCAGTTCTTCTTCTTGGTATGCTTGCTTTGATGTCATAATCGAATAGTGACATTTCTTTTTTTACTTATTTTACACGGTCAGAAATAGCAAAAGCGATCTGGTGATCGACTTACATGGTGATTATGGCCTAGAAATAAATGAAATATCGTTTTAATAAAATATTATATGTTAAGATTTCTAACCAAGAAAAAGCATCTCCTTTACATACGGCGAAGTCAAGAGAAAAATACGTCAGTTGCAAGTAATATATATATATATATATATATATTGGAAAAAAAATATTGAAAAAAAAAAAATTTGGAAAAAAAAATATTGAAAAAAGAAAAAAAAAAACCCGAGAAAAATGCCAAAGGTCAAATAGGATTTCCAAGAAAAAGAAACCATATTTGTTCTTGTTCTCTTAATTAGTTTTGTGTTTCCGCGGTCAAAATCATAACTTTTCAAGGAAGGCAACAAGTGCGAATGAAAAAGCAGGACAAGTTCAAAAAGTATATAAAAAAAGAAAAAAGAAAAGAAGAAGAAAAAAAAAAAAAATTTAGAAAAAAGAAAAAAGGAAAGTAAGTAAAAGTGTAACAATTCAAGAAAACCGTTTAGGAACCGAGTGTTTCATATTAGTCAAGAGGACTCGAGAGACTGTGTTGCTTATAGTTTTTGTTTGTAACTGAAATCAATGATATTATCGGATTTATGGTTCAATTTTTAAGAATATGTGCTTCTTTTTTATCAGTCCCTGCCCTGGTAGTAGAGTAATTATCATGTTTTTATGATGTATTAACTGGTGTATGAGGAGGATGAGTTTGGTTCTGACGTTAATAAGATGTTGAGGCTTTGCCAAGTCGTCGTTCGATGTTTCCTCTTTCACTTTGCAACGTATAATCATACTCTTACCTCGAAAAACTGGATTTAACCTTATTTGAATCAAATATTATTCCCAGATTAACCGTATTATCATTTGTATCCACCTTTTTCTTTTCTTTCTTCCTTTCTTTTTTTTTTTTTTTGTATATGAAAATGTTTTTCGATGTCTGTTTTTTTGACAAGAGTTAGCAAATAGTTCATGCGTTTCGCGTAAAGCGTGTACTCATCAGCAAATCTTACTTTTATTAATGTACGTCTGACCTCGATCGAGTGTCGCTCTAAAGCCTCGGTTGACTAGCGTGCTAGGGAAATGCCGTTTTCAGTGGAACACTATGATATGCTCAAGATACTACTAAATCTTTTGAAACTGGATAGACTCATTTAGGCAATAATTAACCCACCTATTCCAAATACGGCGTAAAATGGGTATAGCCTACATAATCCTAACGGAATTGTGATTAGGAAAAACATTCAAAATCATCGATGGAAGTGATAAAATAGAATTAAAATATTTTGACTTACGGTTTGCGTTTCTTGAAGAGCATTCCGCTGCAAGACGATTATTTTCTTTTTCGAGGTTCGACTTTTTACAATAACGTGTCTGTTGATGATAGATATTTATTTATATGATCCACACCCTATCTTGATTAACCGCTGATTGAAGCAGATTTCATTTTGCGTACTTAACACTATTTGATATTCGGAGAATAATTGTCAATAATAATATTATTAGACTTTACTTTCATAAAATTCCAATTGTATTAAGTCATTTGAAGTTGGATGATAGAAAAATACCGTAGATGAACTTTTTTTAAATTTTATTAGAATTATATTATTGTTATTTTTAGTGTGAATGTATACATTTGACAAGGACGTATTGTGCAGTGGGGATTTCCCCTATCTTTTTTTTTGTTTTTGAGATACGAAAGTGAAAGTCAACTTCAGACGGGAAAAATCCCTGATACATAACGCAATGCGTTAAGTGAATATAGATTTCTACTAGTCATCAGTAAAAACTTACCTTGGATGTTCACATAAACAACATGACTGGGTCTTCGAAGCTAAACCTTCGCGTTACAAAATTCCTTGTATCTCTTTCTTCACTGAGATCACCAGTGAAGGTCCGTCAAGTTGGAGACCCTGTGTTACAATGCATTGCTCAACCAGTCGATAAAGAGTTCATTCAAACACGTGAATTCAAAAAGGTAACAGATTTGATGGTGAAGACGATGAGAATAAACAAAGGAGTAGGGATAGCAGCACCGCAGATTGGAGAAAGTCTCCAAATATTTGCTATGGAATTTTCTGAGAAACATCTTCATGCAATACGAAAACGTGGAATCAAAGAAGAAGTACTCCAAACTATGGAGATGTCTGTGTTTCCGCTAAAAATCTTTGTGAACCCTGAGTTCAAAGTGATTGATCCAAAGATAATCGAGTTTCCTGAAGGATGTATGAGCATCCCTGGCTTTAAAGGAATCGTTCCTCGCTATCGTGGAGTAGAATTAGAAGCCATGGATGAAAACGGCGAGGAAGTGACATGGAAGGCATATGGATGGCCTGCAAGGATTATACAACACGAGGTTGATCATTTAAATGGGACACTTTATATTAAAAAAATGAACCCTGAGACATTTGAGAATCTTTATTGGAAACTGAACGCTTAATTTGATGCTGTAAAATTTATTTAACATGCTATTCTAAATTAAAAATAATACTGGTACTGTATTTGGACCGTATTTTTGTTATATATCGCGTTACTCCTTTTCTCTTCCATGCTATAAGAATGAAAGTAGTTTAGAACCAAACTAATAATTGATATGTACTACTAGATTTACTTTCGAACCCAATGTCAAAATTCCTTCTTTTCTAAATTTAGATTCTGTTTCTTCTATCATCAACGATGACATGTAAGGTTAGGATGACAAGCCTGCCACTTGAGCTGTTTCTTTGTTATTGGTGTCTCAGAGAGAACCTTGGCACCCAGGGCAGTCTACTTCGCTAGCGCCCTCCAACTCTCCCTCTCCCTCCCCTCCCACCGACTTCCAACCCCTTCAACCGATCTTCATCGTAAATTTTTATTTGACTAATTAGTCTTCAAATTATATCTCCTTAAAAATGTCTTCAAATTTTTATCTAAACCTGAAACAACTATTGGCTGATCTATGTCAGGGCATGGCTGACTCACAGATCGATTTGGACTTTACAGAATTTAGCATGCTAGGTTTTGAATCTTGAAATCTCTTCTTTTTGGTTCCGAATTTTCCGAGAAATGCTTTTTACCCTAAAGGGAATCTTTTATCAGATGTGTTTTCTGATAACTTTACTGGAAACCCCCCAACTGAAATATGATTATGAACAGTCATGTGATCTAGAGAAAGCCTGATTACCAAGTATAATTTTTCAAATTAAGATAACAAAATGTCTGTAGTTGAGGTTCGTCAAATCGGTGATCCTGTCTTACGAAGTATTGCTAAGCCAGTACATAAGGATTTCCTTCAAACAGATGAATTTCTTGAATTAAAGGAATCGATGGTGAAGACGATGCATGCTACTAAAGGTGTAGGAATAGCCGCACCTCAGATCGGAACGAGCCTGCAGGTTTTCGCTATTGAATTTTTAGAGTATAATTATTGTCACTTAGAAGAAGACGTTCTCCAAGCGATGGAAATATCCGAGGTTCCTCTTAAGATCTTTGTAAATCCAAAAATCAAAGTAATCGATTCAAAAGTAATCAAGTTCTCTGAGGGTTGTTTGAGCATCCATGGCACAAAAGAGATCGTTCCTCGCTATCGTGGAGTAGAATTAGAAGCCATGGATGAGGACGGCAAGGAGGTAACATGGAAGGCATATGGATGGCCTGCAAGGATTATACAACACGAGGTTGATCATTTAAATGGGACACTATACATAGACAGAATTAACAGTTGAACATGCGTAGCTGTTGTGCTGACTAATAATGACAGGCTGTAAAGAAGACCATTTGAAATAATCGAAATAAATCAGTCATATATTTTTATTCTTATCATGAGAACCAAAAATCAATTTGATAAGCAGTGGATCATGACTAAAGGCAAAATCCAAGCATGACATTATAATTTTGATGTAAATTATTGTTAAATGGAGCGATGAAAAAGCAATGAATAAATATCAGATCTTATATACATATAATAACTGCCCAGTATTTATTTTAGATGTTTGAGTGTGTGACGCGTAATGCGTGACTGTATGTTGATATAGATATTGTTATTATGAGTTTCTGGTCAGTGAGATAATCAAATTGTGTTTTATCTATGTCTTTCGACATTAGTGAGAAATTAGTAAGAAACCCAACTGAATGGCAGTCTTAAAAATCCTGATTTATTTATGCTCATTTGTTTACTATTTTTCTAGAATTCCCAAAAGTGCTGGCTATTTATCCACTTAGCAAGGTGACCAAGGGTCGTGACATTACATCCCCACCCAACCCCTCAGGAGTACCACGCGATGTACGTCCAGCACCAGGTCCCGATGGTCTTCCCGATGGCTCAACCTTCTTCTATGGCCGAAAAACAAGTTATATTGAATTCCCCAACCGGGGAAGACTCGATGCAACTTATTCCATGACCATAGTTGCTTGGGTGTACCCACAAGGATCCGGTCCTATATTCCATTATACTCCTGGGGGCGTCAGATTCTGGGTGATCGGGCGTAATTCTCTACAGGTCACCTTCGTACGCCGTACTGGTCGCTCAACAAGACCGCTCATCGGTAGAGGGCTTAAACCTAATCAGTGGAACTACGTTGCTGCTACCTATGATGAAAAAACTGGTATCGCCACTCTCTGGAGGGACTCTATACCTATATATTCCAGGAATATTGGAAGGATCCGTTTAGCGACGAATCGTCCAGTCAGGATGGGAGCGCTGAGACTTGATATGAGATACTTCCGTGGAAGAATTTCCTGTGTCCAGGTATACAGTGTGGCAATGAAAGGTCCTGAAATCAATGCTGTCAAGAAGATTTGCTTCAGAGCCAGTAAGTACCCTTAGAAGTTTCAGTATAACAAAGAGAGCACAGATACAGTGGGTTGTACGGGAAAAGACCATGCCTGATATGAGACCGTATCAGCCCTTTTTATTTGCTCGCAATCGGGTACGATAGTAGTATTATCGGGTAGTATTATGTGGTTGAGCCTTTTTGTAGCGCACCATCACATTTATTTGAAATTTATGCTTGAATTCCGAGAAATTAAATGCTATTCCGAAGTTCAAACTCAAATGAATAAACTTAAAAAATATTATTCATTACAGAACCAACCACAAGGCCAACACCTCGACGAAGTAAGTATACGGCTGTAAACGTAATATAGAGATAACAATATTAAATATAAATAGGCTTATGAGTATTTTAACAGATTTAGTTTTAGATACACTTAGCCTTTTCAAGGTTAACGAAAAAACTGGGTCGAGATCGTGCCAGTAGGGTGCATTGTGGGACTGTTTTAAAGGACAAATTTCCAGGATGGTGTCTATTTCGTTCCCTGGGACGGTCCCACAATGCACTACAGTGCCAACTGCGAAGGTAGACCACCACAGAAAAGGCCTATGAGAGCGCTCAATTATCAAGCATGCTAAACAACTAAACAAAAAACTATGTGACCAAATAATTCATCTTTTCGATTGTTTCATGCATGGCATTTACGTATACCTGTATTTGTTATACCCTAGTCCTCCCCCCTGCGGTTGCTTTCTACCCACTCACCAAGGTGTACAGAGCAGTAGATGTCAGCAAAAGCAGAAATCCACCAGGTATCCTTGGCAACGTCAGACCCGCTCCAGGACCCAACGGTAGACCTGGCGGATCATACAGATTTTGGGGCAACAGAAACAGCTATATACATTTTCCAAACCGTGGAAGATTAGACACCAGGAATTCAATCACTTTACTCGCTTGGGTTAATCCCGAGGGATTATCTGGACCAATTTTCAACTATAACCCACGTGGCTGGGGTGTTCATTTCTGGATCATTCGTTCGAATACATTATTCGTTCGCTTTGTAACACGACGACGTAAGATGACAAAACCGCTTATCAGCGCCAAAGTACGCCCAAGGGCTTGGAACTTCGTAGCCGCATCGTACGATCATCGTGCTGGCGTCGCCAAACTCTATATAGATGCAGTTCTAGTATCTCAAACTAGAATCGGTAAAATCCGTCTATCAACAAATTATCCATCCAGGATGGGTGCGCGTATTGGTGACAAAAGAAACTTCCGCGGACGAATCACTTGTATGCAGGTCTATGATGCTGCTTTGTATCCAAGTCAAATTAGAGAAGCTAGGAGGCTTTGCTTTAAAGGTGCGTCTCTATTACAATAAGTACATACTTATTGTACTCAGGTTAGTTACCCCGATAGACAAAAGGAAAATCACGAGAGTTACATATTTGCTAAGTATTGCTTTTTTTTTTTTTTTTTTTGCAATAGAGTGCATACCATATATCCGTTAAAAAGTTATACAAGTTAATGCAAAGTTTATAGGTCTACAGTCTACTAGGGTCTACTGGACTTATTAATTTGTGACTTACTTTCCTTCTCTATCTATAAAAGAGAAATATAAATACAAACTGATTATACTAAACGCGTAGTAAAATTGTTTTACTTGTTTTTATTGATTACAGCGTGGCCGACTCCAGGACCCATACGACCAACAAGTAAGTTTATATGTACCTCTAGTTCGGCAGTTTGAGGTTGGCTACTGCAGGAGGACTACTATAGCACACCTGTTTGTATTTGGCAGGGCCATCAATCTTCCCTAACTGTTAAACTGGTGTGCTATAGTACTTCCCTTCCCAGTAGACCGAGGTAGTTGTGATTTTTTAATGGCCTTCGTAGAGTCTGTTATGTTATCCGCAAGTACATTTCAAATCGAGCACGTGATGCCGATGTTGTACCACGTGGACATGTTTTTTACACCACGTGATCAAAATTCAGTCAAGTTTTAATCACGTGGTGTAAAAAACTTGTCCTCGTGGTACAACATTGGCATCACGTGGTCGCTTTGAAATGTACTTGCGGATAACATAACAGACGCTACGAAGGCGATTAAAAAATCACAACTACCTCGGTCTACTGGGAAGAGTAGTACTTGCAGGTAGAAAATTAACGAAAAGGGAAAGAGAGATGGGATGAGGATGGAAAATCGAATGAAGTTAATTGATTTAAAGATATATGAGTGTAAGACTGAATTGGAAGTGCAATTGAATAAATGTTTACTTATTTTTCTTCTTTTATATTTCCAGCTAAACCTACCAGACCACTTCGTAAGTATCTATGGTTGTTATAGTATTGCACTGCATATGTTATTCCAGTCTCAACGGGCCCCAACCGATGTGCGTGATATTAACCACATATTTATTGCTGTCCCTTCAGGTATTCCACCAGCCATGGGCATCTATCCTCTCAATGGCATATATCGAGGTCGTGACATTGGACGCTACAAGAACCCCCCTGCTCGTCTCCATAACCTAGTCTCATCTTCTGGTCCCGATAAGCTACCCGCGGGATCCTTCAAAATCCGCGGGTTACCTAACAGCTACATCAAATACGTTGGTAAACTCGACACAGTTGATTCTATAACAGTTATCTTCTGGCTTAAACCCGAGAGCAGTGGTCCAGTTTACGTCTATAAAACAGACGGTTCTGGCTTTGGAATTGAAATGATTGCAACCAATACTCTGGAAGTTCGGTTTGTGTCGCGCCGAACGAAGCGTGCACAGAAATTGATAAGTCGCCGCATCCGAGGCAGAAGATGGAACTACATTGCGGTAACGTATGACAGGAGAAGTGGTCTAGGAACAATCTGGAGGGATTCCGTGCCAATCGCACAGAGAAACGTTGGACGATTTCGACTCGCTACCGATAGCACCGCCTTCACTGGAAGGAAACCACGAAACAGCAAGTACTTCCGTGGACAGATTTCATGCTTACATGTGTATCATGTGGCTTTGAATGGCTACCAGCTCAGGCAACTTAAAAAGTCTTGCTTTAGAGGTAGGACAATTTCCATCATATAAATAGTTAGGTAAATGTGTGGATGGATGGATTTGTTTGGTGGATGGGTGTGATGTGGTGGAGGGACGGATGGAGGGAGGGAAGGAGGGAGGGAGGGAGGGAAAAAGGGAAGGAGGGATGGAGGGATGAATGCATGAGTGAATGAAATAAAATGGCTGGGTTTTTGATGCTTCGAGGTATGGATGACTGATAGTTTAGTAACACTAAATTTAGTAAGATCTGAGAATAACAAGCGATTTTTTAAATCTTTTCACAGCTAAGCCAACAACCAAGCCAACACCCCGTAAGTTTTGTCTGAAATTTTTGTGTTAACATAACTAAAAAATTTCTTACGACTACCTTGTTGTGAAGCAAAAATGTACTTGGTATGTGAATGTATTAGCCTCCACACGCAAACCAGTTTTTAGGGAAGTCACGTCATCACGCATCGTTTTTCTCCTCACAAGTCAAACAACAAATTATTCGTACATCAAGAAAAAATGAAGAAAAAGAAGATAATTTACATAAACATAACCCTAACCACTGTGTTTTTTAAGTCTACCGTAATTAACCATGCTGTTGTGGGTTTCCAGCCTACCTGAGTCTAACATAACTTATTCTCCTGTTTATCGTCGGCGAAGTCAAAATAATAGTAATAATAAAAAAATATAATAAATTTGTACTTAGGCTTGGGTCAAACGTTGAACTTCACATGAGCCGAACCTAATTGAAACAATGGATAACAAGGCGATCTTTTATGTCATTAGATTCGGCCCTTTTGAAGTTTGACGTTTGACTTTAGCCTTACACTATATGAATATTTCACTTAATAGGATTGCCTGTAGTATTGGCTGTATACCCATTCGATAAGTCCACTCGTGGTCGTGATGTTGGTGGTCGGCGCAGTCCAACTGGGAGGTTCAGTCAAATCGGATTCACCGATGGTCCCTTTGGATGGCCAGAGACTTCAATCAAGTTCTATGGCAAACGTACAAGTTATGTCGAAATTCCAAATCGCAGCATGCTTGACGCTCGTAACTCCATCACCATCCTAGCATGGATCTACCACAGTGGACGAAGCGGTCCCATCATCAACTACAACCCAGGCCCTCGCTGGGGAGTCCATTTCTGGATGACGTCACCCAAGAACATTTTCCTTCGCTTTGTTCGACGAAATGGTGCAATGACGAGCCCTTTGATTGGGTTCAATCGAGTCAAATTCCGAGCTTGGACATACGTCGGAGCCACATACAATAAGAAAACTGGTGTGGCTATACTTTGGGTCAATGGAAAGCCTATCGTACGTAAGAATATTGGTAGAATCATCTTGGCAACAAATGCACCAATCAGATTGGGAGCCAAGATCGGTGATCGCCGCTACTTCAATGGGCGAATTGCGTGTGTGCAATTTTACAGCATCGCAATGAATGCACGTCAAATTAAACAAGCCAGAACGAGATGTTTCAAAGGTAATAATATTCTTTAAAAAACATGAGAGAACATGAACATTTTAAAAATATTTCGAGGGACGTAAAAGAAGCACTGAGGACGTAAAGAAACCATGGCAGTGACCATCCTCAGTGCCTACACCTCGTACTAACCACCTCATGATCGAAGCCGCGCCTTTGAATATGTACATAGAAAGGGCGCTACATAAATCACAAATCATTACGTTTTGTTATTACATGTTAGTATTTTGACTTTCAAATAGTTAAATGCCACGAGGATTGTTAATCATTTTTTTCCTATGCAGTTGGACTCGTGAATAGAGTTTGTTACACTTTTCTCACTTCATTCAAGAGTCTTTCTCCGGGTTCTTCCGGTTTCCCTCTCTCCTCATAACTAAATTCCCTATTGATATGTGATTTACTCGTTTCAGGGTATCGATAACATATTAAGGAAAAGTTATTAGATTACAATGACAATATTTCCTATATATATCAAGGATTTTTATCTTTTTGTTTCACAGGACCTCCCCCAACACCCAAACCAACTGGCACTCAACCAATACCAGGTACTATTTTATTCAATGCTTTTCCAAATACTCAAAACATAGTTAGAATTAGGCAAACAAGGCTCGTTAAACTTACTTACATTATACTATTACATTATTTATAACCGAGTTGTTATCGTTTTTAGTGCGATTTTGACTTTATTTTCAGAAAAAGTAATTTTATTGCTCGTTTCCCGAATTCTTTTTGCGTACTTCTACAGTCGAGTTGAGACAAAGTAAAACTATTAAAAAAGATATTAAATCAACTTTATATTGTGTTTTGTGAAAAAATCCCGCATTTGTTTTCTCGTACTTTCTCTTTCCAATTTAATCTGGTATATAAAAAAAAGACAATCATAGCGCCAGATTTGAATGAGCTCCCAATCCATATCTAAAGAAATAATTTTTGACCACGAATACTTGTATTTGTCTAGTTTGTAGGTCTCGTGTGGATCTGGGTTTTCTTATCGATGGATCAGGAAGTATCGAACGTCTTGGGCGTGGCAACTTTGCACGAATCCTGAATTTTGTTCGCAGCATAGTCAAATCATTACCCATCGGCCGCTCAAAGACTCGCGTTTCTGTAGCCGTCTATTCTACTCGCCCTTACCTTATCTTTGGGTTCAGGCGATATTCTAGAACAAATGCGATCCTTAGAGCTATTAGACGAATTAGGTACCCCAGTGGAGGGACGAGAATAGGCAGGGCTTTGACGTTTGCGAGTTATAGAATGTTCACCGGCCGAAAAGCCAGAGGGCGCAAGAGAGTCCTGATCGTTCTTACCGACGGTATCTCCCAGGACAGTATCATATCACCAGCAAGGCGATTGAAAAGTTCTAAGAATGTAGAAATCTTTGCTATTGGTGTTGGTAGAAGGTTCAAGATAAGACAGCTGCAGCGTATTGCTTCCGATAGAGGCCACGTGGTGACTTCAGGATATCGCAACCTGGGACGTATTGTGAAGTCGATGAAGGGAAGAATTTGCTGTAAGTGTTTCTATTATTGATTCCTTTAAGTACTTAGTAATATAATAGAGGATGTGCACCATCACGTGATGGCAGCCATTACAGAAGGCAGGCTACTTGTTAAAGCAGGTTATGAAATTGGCAAGACGTACGTGCTGATGTGGAAACAATTGAAGCAAATAAATCTGGTCTAATCTGGTTTAAAAGAAAAATAGTAAAGGCCTTTTTTCCCAGGAGTAAAGGCCTCTTTTGCTGTGCCTCCTGTCATGACTGCCATCACGTGATAGTGCAAAGTCTTTAAAGAGATTATAACTTGACATCGTTTTTAATTTTTTAATTTTTGCTTTTAGTCCCTGTAACACCCACAGTTAGACCAACATCAGGTAAGATGTGATTCTTGTTACTAATAAGGCATGGTAAAGACCTTTTCTGACATAGCGATTATGGTGCATTGTGGTCTAGCCTCGGTACAAACATCGTTTGTACATCGTGCCTTATATGGTGTTGTTTGTACCGCAGCCTAAACTACAATGCATCCTGTTTATCGAACTCAGATAAAAGGTGGCAATGATGTGTTGATGATGGTATTTCTAATGACGAAGATGATGATGATAATAATGATGATGATGACGATTAATAACAAATAATAAAAAAATATTAATCCAATTCTCTTATTCATTAAAGTACCTCAACCAGAAGCTCTAATTATCTACCCCTTGGACGAACGAAGAAGCGGGCGTGACATCAGTAAAAGCAGAAACCCCAATGCAAAACGTCGGGGTGTGTCCTTCGCAACAGGTCCTGATGGAAGACGACGAGGTTCTACCCTATTTACTGGACGGAGATACAGTTACGTTGAGGTTCCCTACACCAGAAAAATCGATGCTAAAAACTCAATGACTATTCTTGCTTGGATTTACCACACCGGAAATTCTGGCCCGATTGTGAACTACAACAGAAGAGGCTGGGGCGTCCATTTCTGGATGGTAGGAAGACGAAAGCTCTTTGTGCGCTTCGTCAGCCGTAGACGTAAAATGACAGCACCCGTGATAAGCAATAAAGTGCACTTCAAGGCCTGGAACTATGTTGGCGCTACGTACAACAAGAGGACTGGGGTGGCTAAATTGTACATCAATTCTGTTCAAGTAGCTAGTAGACGGATTGGAAAGTTTAGTCTGGCTACTAATTATCCAATCAGAATCGGTGCTCAGGATGGTGATGGACGCAGATTCAAAGGTCGCATTTTCTGCGTGCAGGTCTATGGAACTGCCTTGAACTCTAAGCAAATGAGGAAACTATCAAAAAAATGCTTCTTGAAAGGTAATAAGGTTTTGGATGTCTATGATGTGGTATATTATCTTTTGGTTCGGTGAGTGCAAAGTAGCGTCAAATAACAAACAAACGAAACGAGAGCGGCTCTAATAGACAAAAACCATTAGGTATTGACCCGTTTTATTCTAACGATTGAGTACAGTTCTGAGAAAAGATATATCCATTATAGTATTTTATTTGCCGTTGATTATTAAATCATGCTTTCTAATTGGTTTGCAGGACCACCACCAACTACAAAGCCAACACCAACAAAGAAACCAACGCTGCCACAAAGACCCCCATACAGTAAGTAATATTGAAGTACCTATTTCCTTTTGATCTATAACAAGTTTTCAAATTGATAGCAAACTAACAGTATCTCATCTCTACTTCCAGCTTGCAAACGTCGTATTGACCTCGGCTTCCTTCTTGATGTTTCATCGAGTGTCGGAGGTAGAAATATACGTTACGTCCGCTCATTTGTCAAACAAATGGTCCGACGATTTGTTGTGTCGTCACGAAAAACACGTGTTGGAATAGTAGTCTACTCATCTAGGCAAACACGTCTTATCAGCATGGTACAAGCTAGGGGACGTCACAGTGTTAACCGGATCTTAGGACGAATCAGGATCATGCGAGGACGCAGACGAACCGGAAGTGCTCTCAACTACGCCAAGAGATACCTGTTTACAGGAAGGCCCCAGTGTGGTAGAAAGAGRGTCCTTATCTTATTAACAAGTGGCGTGTCAGTGGACAGAGTCGTACGACCAACTAAATCCCTAGTTGGAATTGGTGTCGAGATTTTTGCTGTGAC